AGACGTGCTGACATGGATTTTTTTTTTCATGCCACCTCATATTTATTACTATTTATATTTTAAAAAGATAAAATAAAATAACTCCCATTCATCTTCTTCCTTCTTCTTCCTTTCTCTTTTTCCTTTTTTTCCTTCCTCTTCTTTCTTCCTCTTCTTTCTTCCTCCCTCGGGTCATTGAACCCAGGCTGGGTTCCGTCGAACCCAGATCTGCTGGGTTCGGTCGAACCCAGCAGCTGGGTTCGGTCGAACCCAGTGCTGGGTTCCACCGAACCCAGAACCCAGCTTCACCTTTTTTCTTTTTTTTTTTGTTTATATGATTGTTTGCCTAGAGATTATTTGAATTGCAGGTTGTTGTGAGGGATTTTTGGGCAATTGGTTTTATTTTTTGGTTATATGATTGTTTGCCAAGAGATTAGCTAAATTGCAAGGATTTTTGGGCAATTGAGTTAGTGAATCGAGCTGAGTTCCATGGAATGTATTTGCTGGGTTCTGTTCTGTCGAATTTAAATCTTGAAAATGGAAAGAACACGGAAAAGAATAGAAACAGTGGGTTTTATTCTGTCGAACTTAAATCTTAAAAATGGAAAGAGCACCGGAAAAGAATAAAAACCGCACCAAAAAAGAATAAAAACAGTAATCGATGGGGAAAGAAGCAATTCTTAATGGTGATGTGGGACCCATTGAATGGATTTCGTGCGGTTCCGCCATGTGGCATGTGACATGGCAAAAGTGTTACGCAAATCATCACCTTTTTAAGTTTTGCTCTCCACATCATCAAAAAAAATATAAAAAATGCCACCTAAGCAGGGTTAACGGCTCAATCTAACAGAAGGACTAACGGAGTGCATTTCGTATAGTTGAGGGATCAAAAAAGTGCAAAAAATTGTTAAGGGACCAAAAATGTGCAAACCACTAAAGTTGAGGGACCAAATCTAGCATTTAACCTTTTTACAAGAATCTATTAGGAACCTCTGACCCACATTGCACTAGTGCTGATGAAACTTGGCTCAAAGGCCTGTTTGACTATCAATTATCTCCTAACATACAAGAATCTCCTATTAAACTTGTTTCTGAAGATGAAAAAAGGAATGTGGTTTTTTCCAATCATAGTAAGAAGGCCCCAGGACCTAATGGTTTCACTTCAAAGTTTTACAAGGCAGCTTAGTCTATAATAGGTGAGTTGGTTGTCAAAACTATTCAAGAATTCTTTGCTTCTAGTAAACTTCTATGGGAGATGAATTCTACAATAATCTCTCTTATTCCTAAAGTTCCTAATCCTTTTAGAATGTCTGAACGTAGACCCATATCTTGCTGCAACTTGGTTTATAAATTCATAATAAAGATTATTGCCAATCGATTGAAGACTTGCTTGCTACTGTTTATCACTAGAAATTAGTGTACCTTTACTGAAGGTAGATTAATGTTTGAGAATGTCCTTTTAGCACATGAGCTAGTTAAGCATTATCATAAGGATAACCTTAATCCTAGATGTGCACTTAAGATAGACATTATGAAGGCTTTTGACTTTGTTTGTTGAAATTTTATGTTCCAAATATTGACTGTCTTGGGGTTCCCTTCACAATTTATAGATTGGATAAAGAACTGCATTACTACTGCCATGTTTTCTATCTCATTCAATGGGGATTTGATTGGATATTTCCCTGGGAAAAAGGGAATTCGACAAGGTGATCCATTGTCTCCATACATTTTTGTTATTTGCATGGAAGCTCTTTCTAGACTACAAATAAAGCTGCTTCTAAAAGTCAAATTGCTTATCATCCAAAGTGTGTTAAAGTGCAGCTTACTCATTTATGTTTTATAGATGATTTGTTCATCATCATTGATGGTAATGCTACTTCCCTATCTACTATTGATGAAGTTTTGAAGGCTTTTTATGCTCACTCTAGTCTAAAAGTTAATTACAACAAATTGTTGTGGCTTATCTGATTTTGCTATTGCTTTGTTAAGTGGTGCATATGGGTTTAAGGTTGGAACACTTCCAGTAAAATATTTGGGCATCCCCTTAGTCATTGGAAAACTCTCTAAGAAGGAGCTTAGGCCATTAATAGCAAAAATTACTAATAGAATGTCTTCTTGGACTGCCAAACATCTCTCTTTTGCAAGACGACTGCAACTAATATCCTTTGTTATCCAGGGAGTTACAAATTTTTGGTCCTCCATTTTCATCCTTCTAAAGAAGGTCATTAAAGAAGTTGAAGAAAAATGCAATGCTTTTCTCTAGAATAACACTACTAAGACAACTAGAGGGGCCAAAGTGAAGTGAGAATCTTTATGTTTTCCTAAACAAGAAGGTGGTCTAGGTATTAAAGGACTTGAATTATGGAACATTTCTTGCATAATGAGATACATTTGGATGATTTTTTTCTCAAGTAGGCTCAATATGGGTAGCTTGGGTGCAAGAGTACCTATTGAAGAATTGTAGTTTTTAGACAGTTTGAGTTCCTGTAGATGCTTTATAGGGTTGCAGAAAAATCTTTAAGCTTTGACCAAAGGCCAGAAAACTTGTCAAGCATATTCCAAGGGATGGCAAGGACATACATTTGGCATGATGCTTGACATCTAGTTGGTCCATTGATTGAAACTTATGGATCCAGAATAGCTTATGATGCAACTATTCCTTATCAAGAAAAGTTAGCTGTGGTAGTGCGAGGTAATTGTTGGAATTGGCCTCCAACCTGTTCTCCACAGTTAGTTCAGATACGAGTTGATCTATGTGGCAAGCTATATCCCCAAGTGGGAATTAAAGATACTATTGTGTAGGTACCCTTAGCCTCTGGAAGATTTCATACCGGACAGACATGGCATTGACTAAGATAAAAGCATAAAAGGGTTCCTTGGTTCAAGCTAGTATGGTTTTCCAACTCTATTCCCAAACATAGCTTCATTGGGTGGCTGGCCATTTTGAATAGGCTAACCACTAAAGCAAGGCAGAAAAATGGACATCAAGCATCATTGATATCTGCACTTTATGTGGCTCAATGTCAGAAACATGTGAACAAATGTTTTTTAAGAGCAGTTTTTTAGCTCAGATTTGGTAGACTTTGTCATCCATAGCTGGCATTCTTTTCCATGATTCATATCTCACTTTATTGTCTTGGATGGGGAAAAGAATTAGGAGGAAATCTTTGCAAGTGACCCTTATAAAACTTGCATGGAATGCTGCTGTATATCATATTTGGATGGAAAGAAATCCAAGGATTCATGAGCAAACTTTCAGATCAGTTCAACTCATTATTACAAAAATTCAGAGGGATGTTCGTGATAAGATTTTGGGCCTTGCTAAGCCCCATTCTTCTCCCTTGTCCCTTAGCATAGCTAGTTGGTGGGGACTTGAAAACTTTGTGCAGTGAAGTTTTCTTATGAAGCTTGTGGGAGTTATTTCTTTTTGATATAGCAACTGTTTTTTGGTTGCTTGATTGTACATTGATAGTTTTATTGGATAAATAATATTTCACATTTTATTAAAAAAAATAAATACTAAAAAGAATTATTTATCTTTGTATTATTTTAAAAAAATTCCCTCTACAATTAGGTCTAAAATTCTGAAATATTAAAATTTTATAGCAATAAAAAAAAACTATTACCTAAAAAAATAATAAAAAGCTATTTCTCGTTTATTTTTCCAATGCAAAAGATCAGTACAGTCCTTCACAAAGTCCACAGATATTGTCCTCATATCACTGGCAACATTAGATAAAAGAAATTTTTTCCTCTCCGTGTCTTCAAGCAGCAACCATGGCCACTGCTGCCTTAGCAAGACAGTGCCTCGCTCGTTTCAGGGATTCAGAGCCAACAAAATGCGGCGGTCTCTCTTCAACCATCAGTCAGCAATCATCAGCTCATGTTTTTTACGATGTAAGCTATTTTCAATT